CCTCTTGGTAATAGAGAAGGCAAAGGAATTCCAGATTGTAGCGGACCCATAGGCTGAATTACCTTGTTGACAGCTCTTAGATCTGTCACCATTCTCCATTTACCAGATTTCTTTTTTACAACAAACACAGGAGAATTCCAAGGGCTGGTTGATTCTTCAATATGGTTAGCATCTAGTTGCTCTTGTACCAGCTGTTCCAAAGCCTGTAACTTATCTTCAGCTAGAGGCCACTGCTTGATCCATATTGGCTTCTCAGTTAGCCATTTTAAAGGTAGGGCTGTTGGTACCTCTAAAGGTTTGCTATTGGCTGTGTATTCTTGTACAGCCTGAATGGCTGGTGACCTTTTTCCATAATACCTCATTATATCCTTCCCAGAATTGTGAGTTCCTGGAACTACAGGAATGTTAATCTGGGTATTCCATTGCTGTAGCAGGTCACGGCCCCATAAATTTATTGCAATATTTGCTATATATGGCCTTAATCTTCCTATTTGCCCTTCAGGCCCTATGCATTCCACCCATCTTGTGCTTTGTTTTACACGAGATAGGGTTCCAATTCCCAGGAACTGAACATCTACCTCATGAAGAGGCCAATTCGGATGCCAGGATTCTGGAGTAATTATACTTACATCCGCACCTGTGTCTAATAAGCCTTCAATAAAAATGCCATTTATACAGACTCTTAGCTTTGGTCTTTGATCGTTAATATACGTTTGCCAAAATATACGTTTACTCTGTCCTCCTGAATTTTTTGACTCATTCTCCACATGTAATTCATCATTTAGACCAGTATTACTTTTTACGGCAGACATTGGAGTTTTTAATTTTCTTGGTGAGACACATTTTCGACTGTAACTGGGAATGACTGGGCCACTTTTGGCTTGGGGGCCTGCGAGAGGCCCCTCAAGGAGTTTCCCGATGGTATCGGGTTGCCTTGTCTGTCTGTTGTTGACCTGCATTCGTTGGACCAATGTCGGCCTTTACCACATCTTCTGCATATACCTGAAGGCTGAGATCTCCTACTTTTGTCATTCCCAGAGGAGATATTATTCCTAGGATTTCTTTGCCTGCAATCCCTTTTCAGATGTCCTAATTTACCACAATTAAAACACCTGGTAGTTTGATGTCTCCTCATAGCTTTGGAAATCGCTTCTCCTACCCAGGATTCATCGTTATAGCTAAACATCTCAACATTCATTGTATGCTGTATCCATTCTTCCATTGGTGCTGATCTAGATCTTAAAGGCCCAATTATCTTTTTACATTCAGTATTTGCATTTTCAAAAGCTAGAGATTCAAGAAGTATTCGTCTAGCTTCTGGGTCTGTTACCCCTATGTCCAGAGCCTTAATTAATCTTTGCACAAAGTCAGTAAAGGGTTCTCTCTGTCCCTGCCTAACCCTGGTATATGATTCGACCCTTTTTGCTGGATCTTGTATTCTATTCAAAGCATTCAAGGCTGCTTTGTGACATAAGGACAGCACTTCTTCATCATAAAGAGCTTGGACCTGTGGATCAGCATATGCTCCTACACCAAGAATTTGATCTTGGGAAACCTCCACACCTTTTGCTCTTCCTTGCTGTTCCATATGTTTGGATTCTTCTCTGAAATAAATTCCAAACATCAAGGAAGGCCCATCATCTAAAACTGCAGACACTAGCTGAGAGAAATCATGGGGGGTAGCTCTGACATTAGAAGCCCAAGTCCTTATCATTTCCTTAACAAATGCAGAGTGCAAGCCAAAGTTAACGACAGCTTGCTTAATTTCTTTTAAATCATTCATTGCTATTGGTGTCCATCTAGCTTCCTTAACTCCCTTTGAGCCTTTGGAAGTTAACCCTTTGTCAGAATAAATTACAGGGTATGTTGTTAGGACCCTGGGTAAGCCAGTTCTAACAGCTGGTGGTGGCATTGTATCCTGTCCTTGTGCCTTCTTACTCTGTTCACCAGCTCCAATAGTTTCTTCAATCATTTCTAATCTTTTTATCATTGTATCCCTTAAATCCTGAATCTCCTGACCTACCCGTGTTTCTAGTAATTTCACTAAGGTATCAGTTTTTTGGTTCCCATTCTGGAGGTTCATTCTATCTGTTACCTTATCAAAACTTTGTGGTAACATCTGAACGTCAAATTCAACAGCCTGTACCCTTTCAGGTAACTTCCTAGTACCCTTGGACATGGAGTCAATTTTGTCTATCATAGTATCCACTTGTTCAGATAACCCCTGATTTTCAATAATTTTAATCCTTTCAACTAGTTGTTCAATATTAGTCCGTAAAAATCGTATCTTTCTTAATGATAAAATATTGAAAAGAAAACTGAAACCTAGTAACAAGTAAATTAATATATTCCCATAGTCATATAAACCTTGCATGACATAATCCATTGTATTAATAAAGAAAACAGTAAAATTGGCGTTGGAAACAAAAACTGCCATATTACCTCTTGTCTGGTTGGTGGCGCTGTTGCCAAGTTGCGACTAGAACCACTGCAAAGGTGACTTAAACAGGTCCTGTTTCAGTGTCTGCCTTAGTATTTGTTAAAAACTAGGAAATATAAGTTGCTCAAGAAAGAAAGTTTAATTAAATCAATTCCATACACGGAACCAGAAACCCAGAATCCAGGGGTAGAAAAGAGCAACCCGGAAGCCGCGTATGCCTCCACGTGACCGAGTCGTTCTGATTCACGCCACTAAAGCGCCGCACTTACAAGGGAAATTTGAAAACAACTCAGAAAAGAGCAAACCAGGCAGGCAGAGACTGTCCCGAGCCTGTGGAGCTTGGGAGGCGTGGGGTTTAACTGAACTGCTGGCTCCACACACAGGGCACAGGCCGCAGCTGAGGGAGGTCTCGTGACTAGCCGAGCTGGTAGCAAGCAGTTGAGTGGGGGGGGAAGGGGGGGTTCTACAACCAAACGTGGGGCGCCAGATGAAAGCGTAAGTCACAGACAATCCCACACCAGTTTGGAATTATGATTAATATAATGGTTATTTATTCAAAGGGGAAAAAACTTACAGATTACCGTCCCAGACAACAGCCCCTCCGCGCGAACAGGAAAGGAGTCCAGGGGCCGGAAACGGAGCCGGAAGACAAAGAGAAAGTGGAGGACAGCCGCTGCTTTTTTTAAAGGGAGAGACCACGCCCCAATGGGCTGGTAACTCAGCGGCGATTGGCTGAAGGAGCTGAAGGAACTCCCACAGCACTCCACCAAGACTCAGCCAGCTTCCTTCACATCAGATGACCAGGTCCTCTCTGTGGTCCTCCAGTCGCACTCATTCTGGAATGCCTGTGTCCAGAAAGCTCCTTCCCCTGGAGCTGTGGGTTAGAAGTGGGTGATCGCTGTCCACTAGCTTGTTCTTAAAGTTTTGATCCACATATTATCTTTAAATAGGTTTGTATATTTATATGTTTTTTAAAAAAATGGAAATGTTTTATTAAATTTGATTTTTATTTTTCAAATGCTGATGAATATGGTTAGCGGCAAATCTTGACCAGGACTCATCTTAATTGTTTTTATCTTTTGTAGATGAAGCATAAACACATCCTCAGTGTCTTTATTTTGAACATTCTTAGGCATTCCTAAGAAATTATTTTTTCTTCCCTTTCTTTCCTTTCTTTCTTTTTCTTTCCTTTTTTTTTAAAAAAATGACTACTCATGGAATCTTTTAGAACTTGAATCTTAGATAATATTAAGTAATGAGTGCCTAATATTTTCACTCTTCATTTTCTAAAAGATGTGTTAAAATCCTCCTATTGTCCTTCCTCTTTAGCCTGTAATGTACCATGCCTAGCCAGCCTGCTTGTCTCCATAATTGTGCATATCGTGCACGCTAAGTTTTCTCATATGACAGTGACCTGTTATAGAATGCCTTCAAGTAGACATCATGAAGTGAAAACTACCTATCTATCTACGCGCATTGATCTATCCGCTAGTGCGAGTTGCAGCCTGTTTATTGTATTCCTACGGGTGGTGAAAGCACAACAGTGTATTATGTGCCATTTGACGTAGTTCTGTATGTATAGGGGGTAAAGAGTGGATGGATCTGAAGCATTGCAGGGTTTGCTGTTTATACACCCTTTCTTGTTATCATTGCTGGTTTACTCTCTTCATTAATTCTGTCAGGAGCATCTTCCTCATCGTGGTTCATACTTGGAGCTGGATCTCACAGACCTTAGCGCTATAATTACCGGTCACCACATTTTTAGCCTACAGGGTTCAGATTAAATCTCCACCAATCCCAGCTTCTTGAATTCCCCTAATCCAACTTTCCAAGACAATCCAACAGCCTGACATATTCGGGTTCCTGCTGCAATTTGTTCTTTTGACTGAATTAAAAATCATTGTAAAAGTTAGCCTTACAACACTCTCAACATGTTCCTAAATTAAGGTTAACACTCAAGGATAATTTTCAAGCAATTAGCTTTGGTTTTTAGCTGAGCAGAGCACCCCACTTTATGATGCCAAATGCAAACGATTTATACACGACCATAGTTAGGCCAATGTTAGGTCTGTAGCAGTGATTTGCTAATCAAATTCAGGATTTGATTTGAAATGCCTCCGGCTGAAGGCCAATCCAGTCATGAAAAAAACAGAAGCAAAACCCAGAGCCTGGATGAGCTGCCTCCAGAAGGTAGCTGAATCTTTCACTGTCCTTAGCAAAAAAGTTCCAGAAATCACTGCTATTGCTCCTAAATTTTTTTCCAATAAATTATTCGACTGTCCAAGACACAAAACATGTACATTTTGGAGTCTAGAGTTATAAAATATTCTGACATGTTTTAATATAAACAGGAACATTTCCAATGATTGCTTGGATCTAAAATGTTTTCCCACTTGACATTTGTTTATACTGCCGAGGAAAGAAACTCTATTTATGGATAACTGAATGGCACAAATAAACATGGGAGAGAGCTGAAAAATCAGCTTTGATTGTGCATGAAAGTCTACAATGCCATTGTGTACTCTTGTGCCGTATTCTGATTGCCTGTTTATTTTTACAGAACTGCTGGTGAGCCCATGGAGGAGGAACCAGCCCTGTGAAGTGCCAAGTCTCCCCCGATATTTCCTGTGTGTGACATCATTGTGTATCCCCCCACCCCAACTCCAGCACCCTCAGACACGTCTGCTGCTTGGGTGGCACGGTTTGATGGAACGTAAACACTGGGCATCAGATTCTGAACAGCAGCTTCACTTGTTCTTTGGATGCACTTGAAAGGGCATTGCAGATTCCTGAAACTTAACCACTGTGAGTCTAAAGTTACAGTAACCAAGATTGGAAGAAACTGCTTCCCGCGTGCGTTTGTGCTGGAGATCCCACTCCCAGACACGGTGTGAGCTAGAAACCTTCAGTGCAGCACTAGATACTGTCCGTTTCAGAAGCTGGGACAGCCATGTTCATTCCTGGCATCGTGATCAGTGTTTTATTCTGTAGTTTACTGTCAAGCAGACTTAAATTGTTTCTTTTCATCTATGATGGGAATTTACAGACAGATTGCTGTGGGCTGCAGGGATTTTCTTCTTTTCTTTTGTTTTGAATTTTTTTTTCTGCGTTCTAACACGCTTCCATCCTTGCTGGTAAGAGTTCAAGATGGAGCTGGGATGAGACTTTGTTCTAGTGGGAAAAAAAATCACAATGTATTTGGCAGTCCAAATGGAACTTGCACACCATGCCTACCATGTGCAATGGGACAGTATTTTGTGTCCTACTTTGTTGGAGTTTTACATCTGTTTCAAGTTCTCACAGATTATGGATTTGTAGCTTTGTCCGGTAGTGAGGTCTCTTCCACCGCATGCAACTCCATCTAGAGGAGCATGGCTCTGGGGGTGCATCTCTGGGTAGATGTGTGGTCTGAGAAAAGCACAGACCTCAGGCGCTGTGGTTTGCGCCGCATCTTTCCAGCACACCTCTTGCCTTTCTTTCTCCGTCCACTGCTTCCTCCTCTAGAGAAATCACCCACAGCCTCCCCAATCCTCAGGGGAGCTTAGCGTTTGGTTTCTACTGTTTACGTTTCAGGATAACCCACTTTGTTATCCGATTCTGCCACGAACCTATTTTAGTGCATATGGCTAAGCGGTGCCAGTGAGTTTTCCAGGTCTTAGAGACGCATTAATGAAGATGGCATTGATCTGAAGTCCCTGTGAATAGGGCTAAGGTAGGAACTGTGCCTTCACATGGAAACTAACCCAGAACTTCACCTTTGCACAGGTTGCCTTTCTAGCAAAGGTTCAAAATAAAGGACATTTATTTCTGAGATTAAAAACAGCCTACTAAGTAAAATAGAAGCAAGTTAGTCGCTGCCTCTGAAAAATGCATTTCAGTGCATAACTCAAACACCTAAGACACTGAGGTAGAATAGCTCACATATTTAATATCTGACAATGCTTTTGAACATTGATGTTTCTTTTTATATATTTTCCTAACTCAAAGGATATATTAAAGCCATAAGTGAAGATTGTCATGCTTTTATTCAGAAATCTGAAAGGAACCTTAATTAAAACAAGGTTTTAGGGAAGGCCAAGATATGAAAGACATGGACCAATGTGGTTTTAGTTAGGGAGGACTCCAACCTGTAAATCAGAGATGAAAGATCTCACTCACGTAGAATTACATAACTCCCCTTTGTTATACACCCAGGCCACATTTTTCATGCATTTGGTTTTTTTAGGATTACCATTTTAATTTTAAAGACTTTTATTACATATACAAAAATGCCTCGGTACTTGGTTTAACATCTTAGAAATTTGAGATACCCTTTGAAATAGGAAATCTGAAATGGAATGTAACTCAGTATTAGGTAAAAATTACTTTCATTGCATATGGGTTAAGTCAATCTTGAGTCATGATTATAATAAATGTTTTGTAAATTCCATTTTCTTGATGTTTTAGAGAAATTCTTGCCAATTATATTTGCTAACTCCTCTTTTAGTTTTCTCTTTCTTTTCCTTTTTTTTCCCTCTTGGTAACTGAGAAAATTTATTTAAAGAAAAACAAAGGCTTAAAGGCTTACAAAGAAGACCTTACTTTAAAAGAGGGAAAGTTATCATACTTCAAAAAGCTCTGTAATTGTGAACCTTTAAAACCAATTTCAGAGTTACACATCCCTGTCATTGCAAATCTATACTAGATGCTTGGTAATGAGATAAAGCAAGGCAACACCAGTGTATTAATTCGCTGATCTTGCTGCGACCGCATGGCCTCGTATGGTGGCTTCTCAGTCTGGTGAAGCCAAATGACTAGGACATCTCTGTGGTAGTTTAGATTTTTAAAATACTTAATAAAGAGCTAATCACATTCTTCCCCCCCCCCCGCCCCGCTGTGCAACAACACACCTAATTCATTGCAATGAAGATTATTAGGATCCAGATAGAAGCAGACACACCTGGTGGGGAAGGATTGCAACTGAAGATAGCCTTGTGGGCTGAGAGGCTCTACACCTGATTGCACATACCCTTACACAACAGAGTGTGGCCCCCAGAGGGCGGAGAGCACCAGCGTTTCTTCTGAAGCTGACCACACTTTCAGTTCAACTGGTATAGTTTTCTTCACCTACACATTTAGTTTTTATTGTTCCCAGTGGTCCCCAGTGAAAGGCTAATGGAGAAACATTATGGCTCGTGGGGCTCATTCTGACCCACCCTTTGAAAGATGACCCCAGGAATTCCTCCACAGTCTAGCACGACACACATGTGTTGGAATAAAATAATTTTTGAGAAATACATGACTAAAAAATACTAAGTTTAAATAATAGAAACAAAGCAAAATGTAATCAGTTTTGCTTTCTATTTAATTTGACATTTTATTTTTGACTGAAATAAGCAGCCCTAGTAAAGACTGAGCAGGTGTGAATATCAGTGAAATTGTAGACTAGAAAATGGGAAAATATTGGAAGGGAAATATTTTTAAATATTTTATCTAATTTGTAATATTCAGACTGGAGAAAGAACTCGGATTTTGGAGATAATAGATAAATTTGTTTAAAAACTCCCACAAGTGACATTTCCGTGCCCAGTCCTGGAACAGAAATGGTGCCTTCAGTGTGGACTATGACCCACTAGGGACATTTCCAGTCATCTAACTGAAAACACGGTGGCCTTGAAAATGGGGCATTTCCTCCCGCGAAGATTTCAAAAACCATGGGACTAGTCTCTCCTAATAGGTCAGACCTGTTTTATTGCTAGAGGTCAATCGTGAAGCTTTGTGAATGTACTGATATCTTTACAGACTCCACACGGGAGTGTGTGAGAACGGTCCTGCGGGTCAGCGGGAGGAGAACACCTCTTCCCGCTCAGCACTTTTAAACTTGCTTTATTTGATTCTAGCACTTTGTAATTAAGGCAATTTATTAAGATTTTTTTTCTATTTCTCTCTCAATTTTTTTTTTCTCTGTGAGTTTCAGTGGAAGCAAGTGTTAAAACTGAGCAGCCTGGAAAGAAGCCAAAATTTTGTCTCCTAAGAAATGATTCATTCTGAGCTTGACCTCGCCGTTTTGTCTAAGTGTGACACTGTCTTTCCTAGTCTTACCTGTCTCAATATTCTCCTCCGGATTTTGGAAATGAAATCAAGTGCTTGCTGACACACACACACACACACACACACACACACACACAGAGAGAGAGAGAGACAGAGACAGAGACAGAGAGACAGAGACAGAGAGAGAGAGAGAATGCAAATGTCACACTTGTAGCCCTACTTCAAAAAAGATGAGATTTTTACCTCCAAAAGAAACAAAAAGCAAATTATCTGAGGTGGAGAAGAAAGGCTTTCTGTTATCTCAAAAACTGCCAGTGCTGTGGTCACGCTCACCGTCAGCTCTTCTGTGTTCATGTTATATATAACCAAGGCTGTAGAACTTCTGTTGAATACATATATGTTCTATCTATAACATTCCTACCTGGTCTCATGATGTATCTACAGGAATGAGTGTGTCCATTGTTAGTAACCATGTTGGAAGTAACTTCATCAGACAAATCTTAGACCATGAATCTGAGGCCAGCTGGACTGTATCTTAATGATAAGGTATTAGAGTGGTTATAATTTATCAACCATCTTAAGTCTCAGCCTAGAAAAGCTAGCAAATATATAATACGCTATACAGTGCCAATATTTCTAACCAATGATTTCCTTTCCCCTAACTCTGTTTCCCTTGCTTCATTGCCAATGGCAAATTGGCATATCTACACAATCAGAGTTTCTGAATTCTCCCTACTTTATGTTTCCTAAGCAGAAACAACCCTGCAAATTTCTCTTCTGAGACCCCACTTGGCATGTGTGTCTCCAGGTATTTTATCTAATCCTAGCCTTATAATCTTGATTGTGTTGTTTACTTACACCTTATCGAGAGATACCTGGCTTAGCTAGCTTTATCTAAAAACATACCCAAGCTTGGATTTATTCTGTACTTGGGGCTTGCCACTTTCTTTTATTTTTGTGTCCATTATAATCCACCATTTTTGCTACTATCCAGTTGGGTAATATTGATTATCAGACAGGGAAGATTTTTCACACTCCCCATGCCCTTTGGAAGATACTTACATGAGGCAAACCATCAAGTGCATGTGACCACCTGAAGTAAGAATAGCAAAGGAGAAACTAGAAGACTATATGTTTGGAAAATAAAACTATCTGACATGTGAAATAGAAAATGGACTCCTTTAATTTTCTTGTTTGGTCCTTATGCACATAAGGGCACAAACAATGCCACGTGTATGTGGTCAGTTGTCTCCAGGGATACCGTGGTCAGGTCCCTTGCCCTCTCAAGGACATGGCATTTGTAACCATGACAAAAACAGGAGTGTCTGGATTGAACTCTTTGTTAATTAACATTTGGTAGAAATGGAATAACAAAAACCACAAAAGAATGACAAGTTTTGTAATCTGAAGAGGAATGTTACTATTGTGTGTATGCAAAGGCTATTTTTAGAATGGAAAAAGTTCCTTCCTCTTGCTAAACTGTAAGATTCTCAGACTCTCTTTAGGTGGCTCTGCCAGTGTAGACCTTCACAGAAGCTGGGCAAGATGACATTGTCTTTTCAGGGATGGTTGGGCTCAGCGAGTGTGCTGTCAGGAATGAATAACCTTTCATTGGCAACCCGTGTCATTAGAGACAAATATCCTGATGTTGTAAATCAGCTGGGAAGTTCTGGCAAATAAATTCCTCACTGTTTTGGTTAAATGCTAGACCATGATTATTGGAGCAAGTGCAGATAATGGGGACTTTCTGGTTTGTGTCATGCAGATGTGTCTTTTGTATTGTGGTCTTGTATCTGTTACTGTAATAAGATCAGTTGCTTGTCCTCTGTGACCAAGTAGTTTTGCCCTTAATTTTTTTGGCTTTCATCAAAATCTGTCATCCGGAACTGCTAAGAAAAGTATACATAGTCAAACACGAAGTTGTTCTGCCAGTGATGCATCCCCAGGTGTGCAAGATAATTACCTAATAAAGGATCAGTAGCTATTAACAGCACCATTGTTGAACGTGCTTTCAGAATGTTCCTTCTCTCTGCTTCCTAGTCTTTTGGATTTGAAAACACAATATCATTCTCCAAAGGATTGTTGATGTTGTTAGTGTCAACACTCCGTACAAAGAATAACAACACCCCATTTGTCTTGTGTTTTTCACTGATTAGATTTTCCTCTAGTCCTATGTGAATAAAGGCTATTTGAAATAAATGTGTCCTAAAATTTCTACATCCTAGTTGTCTGCCCTTAGACTCTGTATCATGAATAATCACAAATACATGACAAAAATTTTCTGATAAATAAATATTACTAACTATGAGATATAATGGCATACACTAGAACATACATAGAATGTATGTTGACATACAATGTCATATACATATAATGACATACATAGAACATACTCTTCGGAACTCTGGAGATTTGAGGCCCGAGATATGGCTCAGCAGTTAAAAGCACTGGCTGCTCCTGCAGAGGACCCAGGTTCCTTTCTCAAGACCCGCATAGCAGCTCACAACTATCTGTAGCTCGAGTTCCAGGGGATCTGATGCCCTCTTCTTGCCTTTACAGGCCCCTGGCACAAACATGGTATATATCTATACATGCAGGTAATACACTCACAAATATAAAATGAAAATTAATCCTTTCTTAATTTAAAGACTGTAGATGTTTGCTTCCAAGTATTTCTTAGGATGAAATGAAAATTCACAACAAAAAAACTGTAAATCAAAACATAGTTGAGTTGCTAGTGCACGCCTGCATCCCAGAGCCTTGGAGGATGAGACAAGAGGGCTGCCACAAGTTCAAGGACAGCCTGCCTACGTAGTGAGTTTCAAGTCAACTTGGACTGTAGTGGGAGACCCCGTCTCAAACAAGTTACATTTACTGGCTTGGTCATACTTTGCTTTTGCTTGTCAGGAGAAAGAGCAATAAGGTCTGCCGAATGCATGTTCCTCTACAGAATGCTATACTAGAATTCTCTTTATCACATGACTCTTGTACCACGTGGGCTTTTTACAGATGAGAATGAATATAACACACTCACCGTTGTTATAGTCAGTAAGAGATGCCTACATCTGTCTAGCTTTAGAAAGCCTTTGCTCTTTCCAAATCTCCTCTACTACCCATACAAGAGGACACACTGCATATTTCAACTAAAAATCTATGCCTAACCTTTAGGAAGGACTGTATGCTCAGCCTCTGATAACTTGGGGGGGGGAGATTAAATCGTGGAGTTAAATGGGTCTGGTCATCATGGTTAGATTAGTAGAGTATAAAACAATTATTTTTACCATATGCCTCATCTTACTTTAACCAAGACAAGAACTCTAAATTGTCTTTGGAACACATACTACAAACCTTTTGAAATCTATTACCAATAGATTTTGAAATCAGGACCAATACTTATTTTTTGTATTTTACAACCCCCTGCAATATTTAACATTCTAAAATATAACTGTTTCCAATGGACAATGGTTTGGGTTCCTTCTGGGAAAGGATAGGCGTATTTTGTCTAAGAAAATGTAAACTTGAGATGGAGTATGCGAGTAGAGTTAATTTCAATGGTAAATACCTTTGCCCTAATCAGATTTGTCAAATGGCAAATATTACTTCATGGTTGTCTGTTTTTTAAGTTTCTATGGTGAAAGAAACAGCAGAATGTCAGCGGAAAGATAAGGCTGGATGTCTGGTTCGCCTAAGGAGCAAACGTAGTCGAAAGCTCAAAGCATGTCTTTCACTTCTCAACACGTTTGTATCTGTGCCATTTAGTGGTGTTGGACACAAAGTCCTTTCAAACCTTGCCGTTCCCCCGAGAACCATGGTACCGGTGTCCTCCTGGCTAATCACAAACGGATCACTCCATATGTATCTTTGTAATTATTCTGTAAAAAAACAGAAAACTCTCCTGGCAAGTATCTTAAGAATAGAGAAGCAAGACTCAGAAAAAGAGACCAAGAAATTTCCTTTTTAGAAGAAAATAAGAAGTACTAGAAATGAAAAGAGGAGAAAAGATTTAAAGTTCTCAGTATGTCTAAAAACCAAGAAACCCCATTGAACTCCACATTGAAAGAGTTTACAGTGTAATAATAAGATATAACATAAGCCCACTTATGTATCTCCTTTGTTTTGTAAGAAATAAGCCTTAAAATTAAAATTTATTAGGTCAACTGCAGTTTTCATAATGAGATTTTCCCTTTCTGTTTCCCCTTATTTTATTATTTTATTTATTTATTATTCTGGGGGAGAAGGGAGATGGATGGGATCAAGAGCCTTGATGTCAAAGACACAAAGAATAAGTGAAAAGAAAGTTAAAAAATAATCATAAGGGTTAAAATTTCAAGATGTGATCACAGAGAATCCTTTCATGACATAATAAGAGCAAATATGTGAATATTTTAACATGGTAATATTATGTTTATGATTGATTTCTAATTCTAAAATTTTATATCCATTTAAATGAGATCGTTTTTAAGAATGCACATTTTAGTGCATTGTGCTTAGTTTGTGTGTTCCTTGTTATTCATGTTTTGTCATGATTATTCATTCCAAAAATAAAATAAAATAGAAATACACATTTAACATTCTTCTGTTCTGTCATTGAAATCTCACAAAAATATTACTAGTGAAGTAATATAAGATATCACAACAATGCTTAAATGACAAATGAAACTCATCTTTTTGAAGTTCTTTTTAACTTAATTCAGTTTTAAAATTTATTTTTCTTTTTGTTCGTAAGTTAGCATACAATGTATTGAGTTTCATCATGGTGTCTTCATACATATATGTATCATTATTATTTGTTCTAAATGGGCCCCTTCCCTAGTACCTGACTCTTTCCTACCTGTTTCTTCCCTCCCTCCCTTCCTCCCCCCTCCCTTTCTCCCTCCCTTCCTTTCTTCCTTCCATTAGTTGTTCCTTCTGTTCTTTTAAAAGTAATCCATTACCTCATTTCCCACCTTCACTAGGATTTTTTTCTGTGCTTCACTTGATCTTTTTTCTGGTTTAATGACCTGCAAACACACGCATCGAAATGCATACAAAGATAAGCATTTGATGGAAAGTATGTAATTCCTTAGAAAGGGTAGAGAGGAAGCTTAGGAATAGATCACTTTCCTGATACTCACAAAGCTGTGGGTTGAATATTTCCAACCCCACATCAGACAGAGGACTGCTCGTCAGACATCACAGGCTGCCACTGCTCTAGAGACAGTGGGGTCTGGGAGAACGGAGGTAAGAAACGAGGCAGACTAAAGTCTCATGCAGTAGCCAGCCTTATTCTGAGCAGCAGACAATTTATACTCAGAGGGTTAGGAGCAGACACATGAGTAAAGTGTACAATCCTTAGGGCAAGCCAGATGTGGTGGGCACGCAGCAGGAACATGGATTTCCATCGGGGCAGATAAACAAATAAAACAGCCAGCGTATTGAAGGCTCTGAAGGGAACTCACTCTGTCCGCTATACCTGGGAGGGACATCAAAGGACCGTCCAAGAACAAGTCCGTGATTTGAAGAAAGTGAGGTCACAAGACTCAAGTCTTGTTTTCCTCACATGACTCTTCTTGGACCAGGCTCTGACAACAGGCTGTTGCCAATACTAATGGTTACCCTCCAGAACGGAGAGTATGAGCCTATTGTGGAAGACCTCACATGCCCAAGATCTGTGCGTGCTCAAGAGAGGACACATCCCAGCCTGAAGAGGGAGGTGGGCTGATGGTTCCACCCTAGATGAGGGGCTATGGGCAGTTGGTAGTGCTAGGTGAGGAAGAATCAGTTTTCCACACGAGTATAGCTTCTGGTCAGTCTGCCGTGTTCCAGGGGGAGGCCACACATCCAAGAATAAATAGACTACTGGACTTAGCATGGTGTGTGTGTGTGTGTGTGGGGAGAGAGAGAGAGAGAGAGAGAGAGAGAGAGAGAGAGAGAGAGAGAGCCAATCTTGATAGTATAGTGAAGGTAAAGGAGATGGAAAGAATTGGGGGAGGGCTGAGTAGAACCAAAACACATTGTACGACATCTCAAATAACTAATTAAAGAATTGTAAACAAGAAGAAAAGGGTTAAGCAGCAAGGATGAGAAATCAGTCCTCCTGGCTTCCCTAGGAGAAGGAGTTTAAAACATTTCCACAAGGTAAGTCAAGTGACATTGGTTTCATGGTAGTCAGCCCTGACTATGGAAAAAGTCCCCAGTGCTCCAGCCTGAGACGTAGTTAGGGAATCTTGAGATGGTTCATCGAGAGGTGACTCAACAGGTACACGCATTTCCTACTCGCGCCTGGTGACCTGAGTCCAAGACCCAGAAACGCTGTTGTTCGACTTGGTTTTAAATAGCCCCTGAGACCAGTTAATGCTGTCCATATGCTCACCCACATGGGGCCAACCACAAGTGAATACATTCCTTACCTATGGCTAGTCTCCAAAGAAGAACAACTCTCCCTGCATCCACAGACTATTTGTCCAACCCACAGTGTTTTCAGCAGTCAGGTTGGCTGATCGGTACAGTAGTGCCTCAGAGCCTGTCAGAACAGAAAACTCGCTCCAGTGGCAGGCACGGAAAGCAAGAGTATGTCCTGACCACTCCCTTTATCCAAAGGAGGAGTAGCCAAGGCGAGCTACTCCCGCTGAGCCCTCCAGGATTGGCGAGATATAGAACAGCCCCGTAGCAGAGTCTTTTGACTTGAGGACAGGGTGAGTTATAAAAAATGACTATAAAATAAAACAGGCTATAGGTATAGCATCTTCTACCAACATTGTTATATTGATACAATTGATATATTTTTGTAATATATTGGATTTCATTAACTCTTTAAATGTATCCCCTATGGTGATGAATTCCAAGACTAATTGATGCTAACTTGGAGCAGTGGTGGAACAGTTTCAAACCCTAATAGTCCCTTGTTAAAAAAATAAATGCTTCAAGGGTAAAGTTGGGTGAAATCTTTGGTCTATAATTGCTACCCTGTAGTGCACCATGCCCATCTGTGCTCCATACAGTTTGTGAACCAGGCAAGGGGCTGGAGACTGAAACACACACAAACACACAGACAGAGACACGGGTCATCCTTGGAACGGGAGTGCCTCCTTTATTGTGTACCAGAGCCGCTTATATAGGGATCCTTAACTGATAACCACGCCCCAGTCAAACCACCAGAAACCACTCCCCTGCCATCAGGAACTCCTGAGCATCTCGTGCTCAGAGCAGCTGCAAGAATTACAAGTTGTTTACTGGAAATTCAGGATCTAGGGGGTTCACAGCTTCCAACACTACCCTATTTTGAATAAACAGGAAAATTCACACAAGGAATAACTGACACAAAACAGATAAGGGGACCAATGGAGAAAAGTGTCTAGAAATGGACTCACAGCAGCTACGATTATCACTTCTGTGGTATCAAACACATACATTGGAGCAAAGATGGTTCTTGTGAAATGGAGGTAGAAAACAGGATACCCACATCTGAAATAATGAGACTATATCCCTATCCATCACATTTTATTACCATCTGTTTGAAATGGACCAAAGCTATTAAGACCTGCAACATTAAAGCTGATAGAGGGAAATATCAGGAGAGCACGGTGCAGAGATAGGCAGGGCCTTCTGAAAAGAATTCCTGTAGCTCAGTCAATCGCTGCAGCAAATGTCCAGGGAAATTGCAGTTTAAAAGTTCTGAATTGCAAAGGACAGACTTAGTAAAGACATAAGCTACAGACTGGGGAATCATTTACTAACTACAAATATAACAGGAAATCTATAGCAAGAGAGCTATAATTTAAAATGTTAGAAACAGCAAAATAAGAGACATCTAATCGGTGAGTGGGCAAATTCATTCAACACGCAATTCTCAAAAGAAAAAGTGTAAATGAACAAAAAGTATACATATATTCCCCCCTTTTCCCTTCAGAAATAGATTACTGAATCTTATCTCCTTTGTTTAGCTTTTTTTTCTGACCACTGCCAATAATAACTGTAACCACTGTCCCCCAAATGATGACAAACATCTATTACCCACAGACTGACCAAAAACCACCAACTCACCTCTTGGAAATATAGGTGTTATGTTCTCTAGACTCTTTCTTGTTGTCTGGGGGCTGACGGTGTCTTTCGGGAACCCTAAGAATATCGGAATGATGGTCAAGTCTAGCCAGCTGTAGTATTTTTTGTTCAGTCTCTGTGTGGTAGGGAAGTGTAGCGTTTACCTGAAGCACTGACGGGATAGGCTGTGAGGGTGTGCTACCTCAGCTAGCTTGGAAGTTGTTCTATGTGTAGAATTTTGATGAAACTGCAAGAGAGGCTGGATCACTTGGGCTGTTTGTCTTTATTGGTGTCTGATTTTTCTTTCTCTGAAAACACACACACTTTTTAAATGATTTTATTGAGCTCTACATTTTTCTCCGCTCTCCTCCCTGCCTCTCCCTTCCCCTTCAACCCTCCCCCAAGGTCCCCATGCTCCCAATTTACTCAGGAGATCTTGCCTTTCTCTACTTCCCATGTAGATTAGATCCATATATGTCTCGCTTAGGGTCCTCATGGTTGTCTAGATTCTCTGGGATTGTGATTTGTGGGCTGGTTTTCCTTAGTTTATGTTTAAAAACCACTTATAAGTAAATACATATGATAATTGTCTTTCTGGGTCTGGGTTACCTCACTCAAAATGATGTTTCCTAGCTCCATCCATTTGCCTGCAAATTTCAAGATGCCATTATTTTTTCTGCTGTGTAGTACTCCATTGAACACACAGACTTTTAAAGGTAACATGTATATATCTGCATTAACATAATTATGCAATGTGTGATGTGCACAAGTCACTTATAGGTGATGTTTTTGTTTTATGTTTGAGCATGAAAAAGGCATCTGTTAACTTTAGGTTTGTTTGTACTGTATAACCAAACCTCTAACCATGCTGTATGAAAGAATGGCATGTAATAGTAAGTCATGACGACTCTTTAGTCAACAAGATTTGCCATGTCTCTTCCAGGCTCAGAGCTGTTCCCATAGTAGAGGTGTCAGCACATGTGCCAACTGTCCTGTAGTTCTTCATGGTTTTTTCTTCATGTCTGTAGCCAAGACCTTCAGGAGGTCTTCCCCAGTCAAATATGAACTTTACTAATTTTGAAGAGAATCATAACTTTTTGCTTCTTGTGGAAACAAAGGCATAACTTCTCAGTCATATTTTTCTTTGGGCCACAAGATTAAAAATAATGACTCAAAGACTTCTTGTTAATTACAAAAGCTTGGCTTTTAGCTTAGAATTGTCTCAACTAGTAGCTCTTGTAACTTAACAGTTAATTTATCTTAAGTCAAACAATGAACTTAACCCATTTATATTAATCTATGTTCTATCACATGGAGTTACCTCTCTTTTATCTTACTGTTTCCTCTGTCTCTATGTCTCCTATGCTCCTAGATTCCTCTTCTCTTCCTTTCTCTCCCTGGAAACCCCACCTATACCTCTTGCCTAGCTATTGGCTATGCAGCCTTTTTTATACACCAATCACAGCAAGTACATCTTCACACAGTGTACAAAGATCACACAATACACATACATACTCATCCCATTGGTTCTGTGACGCC